GCCTTCAAGAAATTTAGTCGGTTACTCGTAGGCTTGATGTTGAAAATGAAGATCTCACAATGCTTTATCTTTATGCAGATTTGAATCGTATTTATTTTGATGAAGCATGTAAAAGTAAAGTGTGGAAAAAGGTCATGGATGAAGAGATTGAAGCAATTGAGAGGAATGACACATGGGAGCTTACAACACATCCTAAGGGCCACAAATCAATTGATGTGCAATGGATTTACAAGACAAAGAGAAATGCTAATGAGGATATCGAAAGGTATAAAGCAAGGTTAAGTGCTAAACGCAAAGACCTGGAATTGACTATGATGAGGTATTTGCCCCCTCTGCTCGTTTGGAAGCTATTAGATTAATCATTTCTCTTGCAGCCCAAATGAAATGGAAAAATTTCAAATGGAAGTGAAATCGGCATTTTTGAATGGTGTTCTTGAAGAAGATGTGCATATTGAACAACCACTTGATTATGCGAAAAAAGAGCAAAAAACTAAAGTTTATAAATAGAAAAAGGCTTTGTATGGTTTAAAACAAGCACCTAAGCATGGAATAGTGTAATTGATAAATATTTTTTTGAAAATGGTTTTTCTAGGTGCCCATATGAACATGCCCTATACATAAAGAAAAATGAAAATGGAGATAATTTGCTTGTTTGTTTATATGTTGATGACTTGATCTATACGGGAAATAATCCGGGCATGTTTAAAGAATTCAAAGAATCCATGATTAAGGAGTTCGATATGACTGACATTGGGCTCATGTCTTATTTTCTTGGCATTGAAGTTAAACAAATGGATGATGGAATTTTTGAGTCACAAAATCTTATGCAAAAGATATTCTCAATAAATTTAAATTGGAGAATTGTAATCCGGTAAATACACAAGTAGAAAGTGATCTCAAATTGAGAAAAGAAGGTGATGGAGAAGGGTTGATTCTACAGTTTTCAAATGTCTAGTTGGAAGCCTCTGATACCTAACATGTACAAGACCGGATATTCTTTATGGAGTTGATTTCGTAAGCCGGTATATGGAGACTCCAAATACCTCTCACTTGAAAACGGCAAAAAGGATTCTCCGGTATATCAAAGGCACATTTGACCATGGTTTACTTTATTCATGTTCTAATGTTTATGATCTTGTAGGTTTTGTTGATAGTGATTGGGTCGGAGACTTGGATGATAGGAAAAGCACTTCCGGGTATGTGTTCTATATGGGGAGTACGGCATTTACATGATCATCGAAGAAGCAACTGATCGTGACACTATCAACTTGTGAGGCCAAGTATGTAGCCGCCACATCAAGTACTTGTCATGCATTGTGGCTACGGAATCTTCTTAAAGAACTTTTAAAGCCTCAAGAGACTCCCACCAAAATCCATGTAGATAACAAGTCAGCAATTGCATTGGCAAAGAACCCGGTGTTTCATGAGAGAAGCAAGCACATTGATACACAGTTCCATTTCATTCGAGACCAAGTGAAAGAGAAGAAGGTTGAACTTGTTTATACAAAGATGCAAGATCAAGTTGCCGACATTTTTACAAAACCTCTCAAGCATGAATTGTTTCAAAAATTGAAAGTTATGCTAGAAGTAACCAAGTTGGAAAATCAAGCTCAAGGGGGGATGTTAAAAATAAGCTTGTTCAAGGGTATTTTGGATATTAGATTTAAATATAAGGTACATTTTGGGAAAGTTATGTTAAGAGTAATTTTTGGAATGATGTAAAAGAATGTGTAGAGTTCCAAAGTCACAATTCCAAAATTGAGAGAGAGGAATTCCAAAATTGAGAGAACAGAGTCCTAAGATTGAGAGAGAGGAGTCCAAAGCATGCACTGCATGCAATTTTGAATTGGGAATGAGTGAAGTCTAGAATTTTCTTGAATAATCTTGTAATTTCGTCCAAGCATATAGGTTGTGAATTATGAGAGAGAAAACATCGCTAAAATGGTGTAGAAAGAGTCTAGAAAGCTCCTAAGTGGTTTATATATACATGTACTATGTTTTTGTACAAGTTGAGTGAAGAAATTGTGTTGAATTGAGCTCTTTTGTGTGCATAACTACAAATTCAAGTAAGCCTTCTTCCTCCCTATTTTCTAACAGTTCTTTGCAATCAAAATTTATATTATGTTTTAAGGGGTATCTGTTATTATTTCACATTCCCATGAAAGAAGTGGTCATGGCTGGAGTTGATTTGTTGCAATAAAGTAGGTAAATAGAAAAAAGGGAAAAATAAAAATCACTAAATAGGAATGATATAGAATCACTTTGGGTTTGCACACAATGTTACCATCTCCCTAGATATCAGATAGTCCACTCGGCATTTAACTAGCTTGAGGGAAAAAGCGGCAAGGGGAACAGAGAAAAAAACAGAAACAAACCCAACGATTAGGATGTTAGTACAAGAAAGCCTCTTGACAAAAAAAAATCATAATATATTAAAAAAAGCTTATTAAAGGTAAAAGATGGCCTAGGAACTAGACTAGCTGCCAACGACTTCATAATGTGATTTTTTTATTACAATGCTTTTTGTGTTTTTAAACCTTTATATTTTGCATATATGATATTTTATATTAAAAACTTGTACAAACGTGTCACCCGTGTATTGAGTTTCTAGGCTTGAGTGACCCTGCAGAAAGGTGACAGGTGTCAGACAAAAACGTGTCCCATTGTCCATGTAACACTAGTTGCTGAATCCTGTTCTTCCCATTGTCCAAGCAACATAGGTCTAGTATGGGATAGCTTAATGCAAGTCATATTGGGAGAATGCTCTTATGGGAAGACAGATGGGTGAATTATCTGTGTAGACCCTAGATGTAGGAAGGAAAGCTTGGGCACGGAGGAGGGCAATGTGAAGGTGGACAACAATGAATAGCAACTTCCATGAGCCTCAAAGGTGTTGGATCTTGATCAAAAGGCTTAAGAGTGTTTTTCGTGTTTGAATTTATTTGGGCCGTGTATATTTCTCAATGGGGTGCATATGTTAAAAACAAAAAAAAAATAATTCCAATTAAAATACAACAACAAATAAAATAATAATCCTGATACAATACAATGACCAAAAAAACCATTGCAAGTTGAAAGGTATTTTGGTCATTTTATTTTATTGGAATTATTTTTTCATTTTCAATGGGTGGGGCCTCATGATAACTGTAAATGCCCTAAACTTCACGTCAACACAATTTAAAAAAGAAGTAATAAAAATTAAAAAGGTGTTATGCACTACCCATCCGTCTGATCGAGATCCAATGGTGGGAAGCCTAACTGAAATTATTGTAGAAGTTAGCTTGCCACTAGATGGTAGGTTGATATATGTATTTATATGTGTGTGTGTGTATGTGTGGAAAAAGCTACAATTAGCTTGTTACCTAAAATGAATAGTGACTGTGGTTATGATCCCAGTAGTACGATCTCGATCAAAGCTTGAGAGTGCAAACTACTGTTTGAACTTTAGTTTTTATTTTTTGACAAATCAGATTGAGCTGAAATTGAGGACATGGGCAGTTCATTTCAGTGCACCAATAAAAATATATAAAAGAACATCCTAACAAAATAAATAACCAAAGTACCCCTAGGACGTTGTCAGACTATTTTGGTTCCTGACAATGATACACACAAAATTTCAACTCAACCTGATTCGTAAAAAATAAAAAATAAATAAAATAAAATAAAAACAAATAGTAACATGCACTCTCAACCACCCGATCATGATGGAAGGGCTGGAAGCATAACTGAAGTTGCTATTAATTTTAGATTACAACCTAATGGTAGCTTTTTCCTGCATATACTACTGTCGTGCATGTGTATGTAGATATCCTTTGGAAGGGGAAACCAGTATGATGGCAGTTAATGGGGACCCCCCAGCCAATAATTGTACAGATTGCAAAAATAAGTTGGTCTAACATGAAGAGAGGTTCAAAGTCAAGATATTGCAATGTGGAAGATAGATAACAATTTTATCTCCTAAGGTGCAGTAGCATGACGTCTTACTTGGCATGCAATTGTAGGAAGCTCCTAACCTAAACATCTCGACAGTTATATCATTGAATGCAAAAAGTACACCTAATCTTTAGCTTTAACCCTACATCACCAGTCAACCAAACTTCGGGGAGGGAAGAGTCCTCCAAACAGCAAGTCACACTATTATGTTTGTTGCTGCACATTGATCTTTCTCCTACAAATGCATTTACAACGCTACCCACTTAAGTTCTACATAAGGTATTGTCCAGACTGAAGCAATATAAATTAATCGCTTCACATTATGCAAAAAGTACACCTAATCTACATCTTTAACCCTACATCACCAGTCAACCAAATTTAGGTGAGGCAAGAGTCCTCCAAACAGCAAGTCACACTATTATATTCATTGATGCACATTGATCTTTCTTCTGCAAATACACTTACAACGCAACCCACTTAAGTTCTACATAAGATATTGTTCTGACTAAAGCAATATAAATAAATCCAAGCGATGTATATTACTAGAATGACCCACAAATGATAACTTGATAAAATCTACAAGCCTCCTTCAAACGACATGAACCCCAATGTGCAATGAAAATCATATGGTTTTCACTGTGGTCACACAAGTAGACAACTGACTTGTGAGCCACCCAACCAAAGCTATAGTAGAATGTATGCAGTCATCACTCCTTTCAAATCGAGCTTTCTGTATGTAAAGAAATAATTCAAACCTTAGACATTTATGATGTGCATCTTACCACATGCCTCTCATAAGTGTGGACAAAGAAATAACGAAGCAATTAGGGCTTGCCAAAATCTTCAAGGTATCAAACCAAAATCCATGTATCATGAACCACAAATAAGTACTACCCACACGCAATCCTACTAAGCTTTACCCCAAAAACCAAAACGTGTACATAACCTAACCAAAAAAATTTTAAAAAAAGTACGACCTATCCACACAAAAAAAAAAATGTGAGCATGACCTATTAAATTCAAAATGCCTCAAAAGAACAATATAGCCATACAGGTGCACATCCAACCTGTCAAATGCAAAAGGTGCAGAGAGCCTTGCTTCCAGCTCATGATCAACATGTTGCAAACCCTCCTCATCAGTAACTGTCAGAAAACGATCAATTAAAAGTAGTCCTCAGTGCAGCAATTGGATATATTGGAAACACAAAGCTCTTAGTGTCTTCATTATATGTAACACAGAAAAGAAACATGTTATAAAGAAGAGAATATAGGATAAAAATCAAAAAGTACCGACATCCTTTCCGGCGATGCTTAATTAAATCCCGGTAACGCTCAAAATTAACAAACTCTTCCAGTTCTTCTTCTTCCTCTGTCTTTTCTTGGACTCGGAACCCTCTTGAATCAGGTTCTCGAATAAAATCAAGAAGTGCACGTCCATCAAATCTGTGATGCAAGCAGAAACGGAATAAGATATCACCAGAATCCAGAGGCTGAGCTTTGTGAAGAATGAAATGCAGCAGAGATTTACCTGTCAATTAACACATTTTCTTGCCCATTCCATGGAATTCTGTAGAGTAAAAATTTACTTATAGTCAGTGGAATGCATATAGAATCAGGGAAGAAAGGCAGAAGTTTGAATGCAAAGACAACAGAACTATCAATAAGGAAAAGATAGAAAATTCAGGTTATATATGCATTATAAACTTCAGCACACAATATCTTCTCAACCTGCCCCACGAAAGTCCAGCTCTTGCAAATGATATGCAAAGCACCAATACTTGTCTACGCTTCACATACCAGCATCCTATCATGTCAACATCAATATTGATACTGGATAATATTATGGTTATGCTAACTACACACACACATACACATACACATATACACACACACACATGCACACACGCACCGGCGCCATCCATACACACGTACATGCACGAGCGTCGCGCACACATACACACACTACACACAGATAGAGAGAGAGAGAGAGATGATATTACGCAGTATGTTAAGAGTATTATGTAGGATTAGATGAATGTATATGCTTTACAAGGTATAGTAAACTTTATTGGAGTGTTAGATAGGATACTTGTATCCGAATCCATATCTGTGTCCGAGATTTCAAGAAATGATAAGTCTGATTCCCCAGATTTCCACATCCATGTCATATGTGTATCTACATCTGGGCATCTCCAATTTCTTCCCTTTTTTTCCCTGGATAGCTGACCCTTCTTTTTATTTTCTATCAGCTTGTATTGGTTCTGTGCTGATTAAAAAGTTTAGGCACAAGCAAAGCTCATATTTGCCATGTAAACCAAGTTCAAGGAATCATTTTATTTCAATATTGACTAGCAAATGATACGATATGTTTATTTGCCTGGTCAAAATACCATAGTCGTAGCCCCAAAAGCGAAGTAACATGTACACAATAGAAGAGAATGCAACATCGATCTTCCTTTGTTTACACTACGATTAAAACGTCCAACTATAGGAGCATCCCACCCATACCAAACCCCAATAAGGGAAACCAAAACACCATGGGAAAGAAAAGAAAGTCAAGAAATTGGAAAAACAAAAAAACAATGAAAACCTATCCCTGGCTGGGGTTGGGTTCAAGACCGTTCAGGGTCAGCCTGGACCAGGCACCATAAGCATTTGAGCAAGGCCAGTTGATTGATATCTTTGAGGCACGTGCCCAAGCCCAACTCAATTCAATTTCATGAGGCACGGGCCAAGCCATAGTTGAATGTCTTGGGACTGGATCCCGCTTGATTTTCCTTTTTAAATTTTTATTCGACTGAATAGTCCGCCTTGGAGACTCACTGTAAGTTTCCACTGGATTTGTAATTTTTTACTAGATTTTCGACATTTGCAGGCATATTCGAGTCTCATGGAAGCATAATTGGATCCAGCTCGCTGCTGGCCATGACCTGCCCCTCAGGGGCAGCATTTTTTGTATACTGCAATAACTCTCTTGTATACTGCAATAACTGTCTTACTTTTATACAAAGTTAAAAGGTTCAAAATAATACATCTAGAACTATTATGTTCAAAAAAATTTACAACCCAAATGCTAACAAGGCCAATGCCAAGCTCATCCAAAATCATCTAAATATCCTTAATAAACTCAACTTTGATGATTTGACACACACCACCCCCCCCCCCCCTC